TTACAGGCTTGAAATATTTTATTTCAGACAGGAATATTTTGTTACAGACTTAAAATATTTTGTTTTAGATAGGAATATTTTAATAACTATTTAAAGTAAGATGTGGATTATCTTACTTGAACTTATATTACAGAAATTACAATAAGAACTGTCATTGTTTCTTTTTTTTTTTTTTATCTTACATATTATTAATTTCAAAGCGCATTACTAAATTTTAACAAAATTATAATTTTAAAGACCTAGTGATAACTTTTTCTAATAAAAATTTTATAATTTTAAGGAATTATTAATAATTCATCAGGATAAATTTTAAGGAAGTATTATTTTTTTATTACTTTTTTTTTGTATATAAATTTGTTGAGATACGATAGAAAGCCATTTCTGATTTTTAAAATATTTAATCTATTCTCATTGTAAAATGAGTAAAAATTTAATGTATTTATTTTAAAACAATATATATGATCGGGCGGTTTTCTTTTTATTACAAGAGGAGTGTATAAGGTTGGAGTCCCAAGCTCTAAAATACCGGGGGTATTATAATCTTTTAATTTTGTATATCTTATTATAAATAAAATAAATGCATGTATTCCTTCACACATTACCTCCTACCAAACATAAAATAAAAGTCCCATTCCCAATCCCATTACCATTGCCATTCCCAATCCTATTACCATTCCCATTCCATCAAAACCAATCCCTCCTACCAAACATGGCCTTTGATTCCAAAGGGGGGGGGGAAAAACTAGGGTTGTTTAGGACCGGCTCGTCCGGTTGGCCCGTTTCGGTCCCGGTCTTATTGGGACGGGACAGACCTGTCCCGAAATTTTTCGGGATGGGACGGGACACGAGACGGGGTCATCCCGTCCTAGTCCTGTCCCGGTTCCTTTTTTTTATAATTTTTTTATCCTATTTATATAATATCATTTTTTCATATTTTTTTAAGATTTGAGACTATTGTATGGAACTATGGATATATTTATTTAGAGTTTTTATATTTGTTAATAATTTGAGATTATTAATTATTAGAATTTTTAGCAAGTTTTTATTGTATTAAAAGCTTTTATTTAGAGTTTTTAATAACTACTCCTCCGGTCCTTAATAAGACCCATTTAACTAATTTGATTAGATTAAGGAAGTTAGATAAGTTAGTTAATTATAAGAAAAGTGACACATTTTTCCTAAAATACCATAATTATCTTTCTTAATACCCCTCTCTCTCTTATACTTAATTATGGTTGAAGGAGTATCCATGGGGATAATTTAGAGAAAATTGATAAATATGAAGAATGAGTCTTATATTTAGGACCAAAACTAACTCAAGGATTGGGTTCTATATTAAGGACCGGAGGAGTATTATATATAATATTTTGGGCTTTTGTTTAAGAGTGCCCAAACAAGTAAAAAAGAAAATAAAAAAATGTTTCTATAAGGCTTAAGTCCAAAAAAATATAATTAAAAAAATCATATTTTATTAAAAATTAAAAAAAAAACTTCAGGACGTCCCGGTCTTGTCCCGAATCCGTCTCGTCCCAACCGGGACTGGGACAATCCTGGGACAAGCCGGGACACGGGACAGATTTTCTGTCATGTTACTATTCATCGGGACGGAACCGGGATGGGCATGTCCCGGTCTCGATCTATCCCGTAAACAGCTCTAAAAAAAACACGTGGGCTAGCTACCAAACGTAAAATGGGTCATCTTGCATATAATTAATAAGAAGTAAGAATGCCGTGTGGGATACGCCTCAGAGAACAACATCAACGAGTTGAGTTGAGTGAGAAAGAAACAAAGGAGAAATAGGTGAATTGAAGAGTTTACGTTTAAGAAGTTTTATTAGTTAGAAAGATCTGATATACTTTTACACGTAAAAAGGAATCGCGATGCACTATAAGATGTCATGCACAAAAAGTATTGGCACTCCAATTCATGTCATTCTGGCTCATAAAATTTTCAAACAGAAAATTTATAAATAAAATTTAAGTAGTATTATAATTTAGGGGCAACCACATGAAAAAAAGGGAAGCTGATTATATGAGTAATTCATATATATGGTTTGTCAGTTTCTTTTAAATCCTTCAGCATACACTTACTTTCCTACAACGTCAAGCCATTCCATCTCTTCTTCTTTTGAGCGGTCCGTTGCTTCCCTTTCTTTCTATTATAGTGTCTCTCTCTCTCTCTCTCTCTCTCTCTCTCTCTCTCTATATATATATATCATTCATATTTGAATAATTAACTCATAGTATAAATAGATGGTTCCCATTTAATTTTATTTAGAAATTATTTTTTAACGATAAAGTCATTGTTTAAAAGGTTAAAAAATTTTAAATCTAGACATAACAATATAATTCTCTTTTTTCAAAAAAAACAAAAAAGAAAAAAGAAAAAGCACATTAGAGGCATCCCTTGGAAAATTAAGAATAATCTCAAGGACAATAGCACGACACACTAAATCCGAATATACTGAGCGCTTATCTTTGAGACATATTGAGTCTATATGTATTGGTGAAAGATTTCATGAATCAAATATTATATTTCTGTCAGCCAAATTTCACTATAATAAAGTTTAAGATGCGATTAACTGTCTAAGTAACGATGAGTTTTTTTAGCCGTTCTTCCCACATGCCAATATGAGACATTTTAAAGCGGGGGAATTACAACCTAGTCCCGCACAAGAGAAATAATTACTGAAAGGTCCTAATAACAACCTCAACAGCCTATAATAACAAGTCCTATAGTGAAAATGACAACTTCTGGGACTTGTTTTTTAATTGTTTTCCTTGCTTGGGACTTCATTGTAATTCTCCCTTTTAAAATTCATGTTTGATTCAATAATTGGGACTTTGTTGGATTTGTGGGTCGCATGTGCATTATATAAGACACATTGTATGCTAATCATGGAAAGGTGGGAGGATTTTTTTGAAAAAAGAAAATTTTAAATACAAGGAGTAAGATATAGGCCTGCAGGGCAGCATAAAAATATATATATATATTTATGGGTTATAATCCCAAGTCTTTTCAAAATTATGGCTAGCTAGATGTGCACTTTTAAGAAAATGTTATAAGCATCAATCGATATAAAAGTCATGAGCACTCATAAGAAAGATAACTGAATTGAGAAAGATGAAAAAAGAAGAGAAAAATGGTGTTGGCTTAGTAAATTTATTTATTTTTATAATTATTTACTCAACAGAAGAAAGTTACTCGTTTAATAAATTGGTTATTTGCAAATAATTTAAAATTAATATTCCACATCAATGGCAGTCCACCATTTTGCTTATGCATGTCATAGTCCTAGCAGATTCAATTGTACTACTGGATTGGTTCAAGATGATAATGTAGAAACGAGGCACGAAAATTCGTTCAGGCTAGAAATTCAAAGAACGATACCAAACCAATCAAACATAGGATTTTAAGGTTCAAGACTAAGTCAATTGCTTGTTACTTGAATGAAAAACCTGTCATCACATACCAAAGCATACAAGGGACACAAAACGAAGTTATTCCTTAGGCTAAAAGGGACAAACTAGGAACTAAGCCTCCAACAGTAAACAAATAGAAATTCGTTTTAAATGCCTTGAATTGAATATTCACTCACTTCATGTGGCAACCACATGCCATTCTCGAAAACAACTTTGAAATAATGACCCAGAAAAGGCATTAGGGACAATATTTTCAATCTTAAATACCTGGCACATACGAATAATTGAATTTCAGCATCGGTAACAGTCAGTCCATCTGACTTTTCATCCATTTCTTGTTTTAAAGCCTTGTGTCTCCATTCACTTCTATGCAACATTAAGCCCTTGTCTCACTGTCTTTTTCTTGCCTCCCATCAATGTCTAGCACTAGAAAAGGATCATAAACAAACCTGCCAAATACTCAACCAAAGGGTACAATACCAATGATCGTCTGGTTTCAATTGCTGCTCCAATGATGGGAGTAGGAGCAGCTAAAGCAGATGAGGAGGGAAATGAGTGATAAAATTGGTGAAGAGAAGCACATGGAGAAGATGAAGGATATGAATATGAAACTGTCAAATCCATATTACTTGTAGGTAGTGTGACTCCCTAAACTTTGTTTTATATTGATTAACTCTTTTGCTATGCTGACTTTTCAAATTCGAACTTTGACAATAATTTTTTGACAGCGGAGGAATTATATCATGAAAATTTTAGGTTCTAAATTTTTGGAAACACAGTTCAACTGTAAATGGGCCGGAATCTAAAGAGTTGCTTGGAGCATTTTAACTATTGAACAAGTGACTAGTCTAAACTTGTTTGGTTGATCCTCATCAACTTGTTTATATTCAAAGTACGGGTAGAGAGAGAGAGAGAGAGAGATGTCATCCTTCCTTTGGCTAACTCCTTTAGGTGGTAATTTACTTCTTTTTTGTTAAAATCTAAATCATCCAAAATTTTATATTTAATAATATATATTTGACCCGAGCCTCAGAAATTCTGCGCACTGTGTTTGTCAAAATTTTCAAGATACTGAATTAAGTTAATGAAAATTAGATGTATGTATATATGTGACAAGGGCAGAGTGAAGAATGATACAATTGGATAGAGAAAGAACTGTGTGTGTACTTGAATCTCCGCTGATATAATGGATAAAATCATGCCACAGAATTTCATTCCTTTCTTTTAAGACCTTGAATACAACCTTGAGCCATTCAATCTTAATTTTCTTCTGAGCTATTCTGCATTCTTGCTCTTCATTGGCTCGGGGATACCTCCAAGCCAAGAAATGAAGATGATCCTAAACAAAACACCCAAACTCCGAATAAAGAATCTGATCACCTTGACTTTTCTCAAAAGGGTCAGTGGCCTCGTGCTGCTATATTGGGAGCCAATGATGGCTTGGTTTCAATTACTGCATTGATGATGCGTGTAGGAGCTGTTAAAACAGATTTAAAATCCTTGGTGCTTGCAGGTTTTGCAGGGTCAATAACAGGAGCTTGCAGTATGAATTTGAGATTTCCCAAACAAAGAGATCAATGAGTGAGGATGAAGAAGAAGAAGAAGAAACTGTCAAATCCATTTCAAGCAGCATCTGCATCAACATTCCTCTGCTTGCTACTGCATTCACAACAGGTCACAAGATAAAGCTAACGGCGGTTGCCATTGTGGCTTCATTGGCTTTGACAGTGTATGGATATGTGGGAGCTCTGTTGGGAAAGACTCCCATTTTGAGATCATGTGTGAGGGTTGTGTCTGGAGGACTGGTAGCTATGGCCTATGGGTATCACTTTTTGACCAAGTTACTGGGTTCTTGTGGACTGCAGATTTATGAATGAATTGTGACCACCCCATTTCCTTATTTTCAGTGAATAAGGTTATTTTCTTGTAATGAGAATCTAGCCAAGTTATGCCCTGTTCTTTGCTTCTTAATGTCACTGAATTATTTTTTAGTGGTCTTCATTAAGTAGTAAATGAGACCACTTTTCGTAGGATCATGGCATGCAAAACAGCAAAAGAAAGTTTGGGAGAAGTTGAAGTCAGAATTTGAAGCAAATGAAAAGACAGAGAATATACAAATCTTCAATTTAAGGAAGGAGTTTCAACTTCTGAGTTCTGAGAGTGAAAGAGACTGAGAATGCTAATCAAGTAAGGCTAATGATTTCGAGAAAAACTTTTTATAGAAAAAGCGAATGTGCGGCCACACTTTTTCATAATCCCATCCCATTTTACCTTATTTGTAAAGACTAACGTGCAACAACTCATATTCTCTTAGGACAAGGATGAGGAAGGTTACATAATCATTGTAAATGAAATATCATCATAAACACTCTTCAAAATCTTCAAACGGGCTCACTGAAACAGTTCTTTACATTTTTGGGAAATCATGACAGAAATATACAAAATGGACGACATGCATGGTTCTGCATAGCTTCCACAAGAAGTCAATTGGAGATTGTTAGCGTTTCAACAGTTGTACAGCACATCATTTCAACTCGCACATTATTCCCCCCCCCCCTCCCCTTATAAATGTATATATCTCGTCTTCCCCATCGCTAGCTCCCGAGAAGCTTAAGAGATAATGAGATTGCACCCATCTCTCATGGGTTGACTTTGGAGCTGCATCTTCAGTGACGCTGAGGGCCCTGTTACATGTACCTCTCGTAAGGAAGTCAAGGACCATAGCACGTTAGGGAGAGCAGTCAACCTGTTGCACCATCCAATGACCAAATGTCTGAGACATGGCATTACATCTCTACCTAATTCCCAGCGATAGAGATTTTCCAAACTGTTCATTTGAAATACCTCTAGTTGGGGGAACCCATTAATGCAACAAGGCTCTAACTCAGACCTTGAGGCTTTTGCAAACTCACAATAACGCAGTTTCAAAATTCTGAGGTTGGTAAGACTCCCCAAAGTCCTCATGACATCATTATTTGAGTTGGTGCTTGAGATTGCTAGCTTGGTAAGGTTGGAAGGAAAGGCATTGACAGATGTTGGAATATCAGGAAATCCGTAAATCTTCAATGCATTCAGATGATTAAGGTTTGAAAGGTTTCCCCACACTTGTCCAACCCCTTGTTTATGCTTGTCATCCTTATGGAAATACAAACCCAATCTCCTAAGCTTTGGGAATGCACCTTTTCCTATTAGAGATATAGCAGCTGATGTCTTGTTTACGGCAACACAAGATAGGGTTTGTAGATTCCACATGATGTTACTTTCTACATCTTGAAACTTAGGTAAAATCACAGGTCCAGCCGTATGAAGATGCCTCAGTCTCTTGAGCTTCCACATTCCACTGGAGAAGGTTACAGATATTGTAAGTCTAGAACGTCCCAAGTCCAAAGTTTCTAGATTCCATAGATTGCATATGGATTCAGGAATCACTCTAACTAATCCTGGATAAAAGCTTGTTTGCAGATCTATTCTTGGGTACCTTAGATTCACTAACATGTTAAAATTGGTAGGGATCTTAGACTCGCAGGAACTAGGAAGCCCTAGATCCAACACTCGAACAAGTTGAAACCATTTCACAAGTCTTTTTGACTTGCTTGAACCAAAGAAGTAGTAGCAGTCCCGGTCAAAGCAGAGCATCAAACGAGTGCCTGAAAGGTCTTTGTTGTTGGAAACAAAAAAAATTAGACATATTACATTGCATGGATAGCCTGCAAGGTTTGGTTTGTTCCAAAATGTCTATGTCCTTACAAACTTCAAAAGCCTTCTCCTACCTACTCTCAGATATGCAAAGTTCTCTTAACAAATCATGGATGCAACATGTCTTGATTCCCCCATCATTTCTCCTTCTTCTTACTTGGATTAAGTTACGATCAATGAGCTCATCCAAGTAGTCCTCTGCAACATCCTCTCTAACTCTAGAATCGCTATGAAGAATGAATCCTTCAGCTACCCATAATTGGATCAATCTTCTAACAGGAATCTCGTAGTCTTCAGGAAAAATACCAAAATATAAAAAGCATGGCCTCACTCTTGAAGGCAAGCTGTCATAACTGAGCTTAAGTACTATGTCTTGTACTTGTGTTTTTGGTTGAGTGAGATACGAGTTGACATGTCTCATGATCTTGGACCACTCTCGATATGACTTATCCTTATTTGCTAGAATTCTTCCAAGGACCATAATGGATATTGGCAAGCCACCACAACTTTTTACCATACGCTTACCTAGTAGCTTGAGATTAGAAGGCACATCCTTTCCTCGAAACACCCTCTCTGAGAAAAGCTCCCAACTATCTTCTTCATTAAGAAAAGGGAGAGAGCAGGGAGGAAATGAGCTGGCATGAGAAGCCACCTCTTTCAGACGACTAGTAATCAAAATCCTACTGCTTTTATTATCATCTGAGAAAGCATATCGCAGGTCATCCCAATGTTGAGTTTGCCATACGTCATCCAACACTACAAGATACCTCTTCCCTTTTAAACACTCTCGTACCTTGCCTTTCAGTTCTTCCTCATTCAAATTATAAAAATCAACAGATTCAGCTTTGCTTTTGCCTTTTGATTTCTTCTTATGCTTGCCACTGCTATCGTTATTGTAATGACATGCCTTTCCAAGGATTGTCATCAAGCATTTAAGAAGGTTATGCAAAAGCTCTCTAGGTCTATAGTTATTAGACACATAAACCCAAGCATTACAATCAAAGTGATTCTTGACATAAGCACTGCTATAAATCTTGCGAACAAGAGTAGTTTTACCTAATCCGCCCACACCAAAGATGGACACCACATTGCGACGCAGACCCTCTTGCTCGAGGAGATTGATTACTTCAGTTGTGTCATGCTGAAAACCCACCACGTCATCTTCCTCCACATCCCTTCTTCGCTTGTGTAGTAGTTGTAACTCCTGATCTGTTAAAGATCCTCCTACTTCGTGGGTGTCGCATTTGACTCTGTTCTTATAAATCTAATCGATGCTGACTTTAATGTTGTCTATTTTCTCTGCCACATGGTGTAGCAGCTTTGCATGGTCTACGCCATGGAGCATCTTGGACACCCAACTTCTCCTTCGGTTGCGAGCAACGTTGGCAACAAAGGAATCGATGACATCCTCAGCTTCATGTGCGATGTCTGTGATTTGACGCACAACCTCTTGTTCGATCTCCTTCTTCCGTTGGTTTTGGTCGCTGTTCTTAAGGTGGACACTCATCATTCTGAGCTCACTCTCAAGGAGCTTCACTTTGTCCTCCACGCCACATAGCAAATTGGCTTCGTGTGCTACAAGCCGAGACAAGTTTTCCAGCACAAAACTAACTACGCTATCAGACATGAAGTGTGCACGATCAACACTAGAACACTGAAACAAGTGATGGAAAATTTGAAGCACGAGACATTGCCAAGACGTTGGAGGATTTAAATATTAGCTAGTACAATCAGTATCATCCTGCAAATCCAAACACACCCTAAAGGTCAAGACTTTATTGCTATCGCCTTGGTTCGGTTTGGCCTTTTGATGAAATTAAAAGCAAGAATGGCGTGTGGGGTCTGGAAGTGACAAAACAAGGGTGTGGGTCCTCCAAACATTAATATGAATGAAGTCATGAACTATGAAGTTTCGGAGAAGACTTTGGAAGAAGACTTCGAGTCTGAGAGAAGACTTCTCATTGCTCAGCTTGGGTTTATGATTTTTAGTGCTTCGTTAACAGGAAGGGTTAGTTTTTTACAGTATAGTGAATAAAAATTCAAATTTTTATTGAGAGATACTTATATTTAGTGTTTCATAATACCTTGAATACTGAATCCGTTTGGATTAACGGCAGAAAAACTAACGTATTTTCAATCTGATTATTTTGAAAAAAATGAGATTAGGTGGCTATTGCATCCAATAACAAGAGGATACGTGTGCGGCCGTGTGGCTTTTCCCCTTTTTATTCGGTTTCTTTGTTCAGGCCATGGAATAGTTAGTGTGGCTATAAAAAGTATCACCTACATGTTTTGACCACAGTTATTTGTTTATATTGCATTTTCTTTTAGTAAAAATTCCATAAATTGGCTATTTATTTAGATATTTCATGATATAGTTTCTTTGTGAATTTATTCACGTCCAGCATCCATTAAAATTTTGCCATGTTATTTATTATTGTTGTTCTCTTTTACATTTCAAAAAATTATTATCCTGTGTACATACTTTTTCTCCTTGTAAATATGCGTTAATTGTTATATTTATTTATGCTTGAACGAAAAATGAATGCACCAGCCATTGAGCAAAAAGCTTTGTGCCTTAATTAATATGATTTTCCACTAATGATGATAAGACAATACTTCCTCTAATTCCAAAATATAACATCTAATTGAGAGTTGGATTTGGTTTTAAAACATCACTTCATATTATCTTTCATATCTATTATTTTTTTAAAATTTATTTACCTAACCTATAACAAAATACTATTCTCGGTTCTAAATATAAGACCCAGTTAACTAATTTAAAGATATTAAAAAAATTAAATAAATTATTCTAAAATATTATATTTATCATATTTTTAAACTAATTTTTTCAGCTTATAAATTGATATATAATCTAATGATACATATAAGTATTTCAAAGAGAGATTATGTAATATATGCTATAATTAAGTTATTTTTTTTAGTTTTTTAATTTTTCTCAATTAGTCAATTAGGTCTTATATTAAAGAACAAAGATAGTATTCCTATGGTTCTTAGTGTAGGACCTAATTATTAAGTTGATCTTATTCTTAAATATAAAATCTATCTCCCATATTTATCAATTTCTTTCTAAATTATTCCTATTAATATTTTCTCAAAAATATTTAGTATCACCTTTGTATGATGTTGTGACCATAGTTATTTATTTATATTGCATTTTCTGCTGGTAAAACTTCCATAAATTGGCTATTTATTTAGATATTTCATTATAAAGTTTCTTTGTGAATTTATTCACGTCCAACATCCATTAAAATTTTACCATGTTATTTATTATTTGTTCTCTTTTACATTTCAAAAAATTATTATCCTGTGTACATACTTTTTCTCCTTCTAAATATGGGTTAATTGTTATATTTAGGAAGAATTAGAGAGGAGGATCAATAGGGAGTAATATTTATATGAGAAGATCATAAAAATTAGAATTATTTAAAAGACTAAATATTCCAATATAAATTTAAAAATACCATATTATTCCTATCCAAACCTCCTATATGATCTCCTATATTCCCTCCTATATTTTATTTTTTAAAATAATTTGAATTGATAAACTTCACTAAATTAAATTTGATTTCTCTTAAAGTTTACAATCTGCCTGAAAATAAATTAAAAAAAAAATGCAAACATGGTTCATTCATATAAAAATTAAATTTTTATTTTCGTTATAAGAAAATTAATTTTTTTAAAACCATCACAGTTATTAATTGAAAATAAAATTTATATAATTTTATTAAAATTTCGATTATTATGTAATTTATTATATGCATGATTTTAAAAATTAAAAGAAAGTTTGCATAATTTATTTTTTATAAGAACCCTTCTCAGAATCATTTAACAAAGGCCATCTAATTATATAATAAAAAAATTCATGTAATGTTAAGAAATTAAAAAAAATCATTTTCTTCGATTTTTTTAAAAATTGTCTATATAGTAAATTATATAATAATCTAAATTTTAATAAAATTATATAATTTTATTTTCAATTAAAGTATGTGATGATTTTAAAAAGAAAATTTTCATTTTTGATAAAGAAAATAAAATTTTAATTTTTATATAACTGAGTAATGTTTGTGTATTTTTTTAATTAATTTTACGGAGGACTTCACTTTATACTCCACGCCGCATAGCAAATGGACTTCGCGTGCCGCAAGCCGAGACAAGTTTTCCAGCACGAACTAACTATTACCTCCGTTTTTAATATAAGATTATGTTTGATTTTTATTTTAATTTTTAATATAAGACATTAACCTACTTTGTTTTTCATAATTATCCATTGTTTTCTAAGGTAGTCATTCTAATAATGATAATTCTGACTAATAAACTTAATTAGCAATAGTATTTTAAGAAAGATAATACATATTTATTACAAATGATTAACTTAACTTATTTATTTAATCTACTTAAATTCATCAACTATATTTAGGAGCGAATGCAGTATGTAATTAGCTATGAAATCTGCACGATCAACACTAGAACACTGAAACAAGTGATGGAAAATTTAGAGCACGAGATACTGCCAAGACGTTGAAGGATTTAGTATCATCCCACCTTCCACGAGGTTGCCTCAAAGACCAAAGATCAAGACTTCATTGCTATTGCATTGGTTCAGTTTGGCCTTTTGATGAAAGAAAAAGAGAGAATGGCGTGTGGGGTTTGGAAGTGACAAAAGAATCGTGTGGCTGCTCCAAAAATTAATATGAATGAACTATGAAGTTTCGGAGAAGACTTCTGGGTTCATGATTGTTTGTTTGTTTGTTTGTTTTTTTTTTTAAACGAGAGATTGTGTGTGTTGTTGTAAGCTGTAATTATTAGTACCAGGTGGTATTAACCTTTAATTTTTTATTAGAATCGTAATCAAAATATATAACTTTTATTTATCAATCTATAATCTCAGCAAATGTATTTACTGTTTGGAAACATATTTTAAAATATATTTATTGTAAGTAATATTTATTTAATGTGAATGTTTATTTCAAAATGAGACTTTCAATTTTAATCACTTGAGAGGTGAGAATCTATGGCACTTAAACAAACAAATTTTAACCTGTTCCTAATACTCAAAATTACCAGAGAATTAAGTTTAACAGAAGGGTTTAGTTTTTCACAACATGGTGAATAAAAATTCAAATTCATAGTGAGAGAGAATACCTGTGCGGCTCTGTGGCTTTTCCCCCTCTTATTCTGTTCCTTTATTATATTTTTTTTTCAAACTAATTTTTTCAGCTTATAAATTGATATATAATTTAATGATACATATAAGCATATCAAAGAGAGATAATGTAACATATGCTATAATTAAGTCATTTTTTAGCCATTTTAATTTTCTCAAATTAGTGAACTAAGTGATGTTATTCCTAAATGTAAAATCTATTTATTATATTTATCAATTTTTTTAAATTACCTTTATTAATATTTCCTCAACCATAATTACATAGGAGAAAGGAAAAGAATATTAAGAAAGATGGTTATAGTGTTTTAGGAAAAAATATATCATTTTTTATAATTAATTAACTTAACATTTTTAATTTAATCAAATTAGTTACATAAACCTTACATTAAAGATCGAAGGAGAATTACATTAGAATATCTTAAAAGATTGTCACATTTAATATTTTGTATTTTATTAACCCTCCTCACGAGACAAATGTTTAGCGGACTTGATAAACGCAAAGTCTAACTCGTTTATTGTTGTACGGTTACCTTCATAACTCTTCCATTCCGAAAGGAAATAAAATCAATGAAATATTACGCATTTGAACATGACTCAGTCTCTTAATGTAATGCTGCAACCACTTCACTTTCCTCTCTCGTGGTAGAATGCATTTCTCATTTTGGGAAAATAGAAGTATAATGGGAGGTTGAAGCGATCAGAGAAGTCATTATTTGTAAAGACTTATGCTACGGAAAAACTCATACACTCTGAGATCCATATTGAAGAAGATTTTAATAAGCATTGTAAATGAAATGTGACAACCCCTTTATAATAGCTGAACCCTGTAATTAACAATACAATACATCATTTCAAATCACTCATTCTCTCTCTGTCTCCCAACAGTAACACATATATGATACCCTTTAGAGATAGTGAGATTGCACCCTTCTCGCATGGGTTGACTTTGGAGCTGCATCTCCAATGATTTAGAGGGCTGTATTACTTGTACCTCTCGTAAGGAAGTCAAGGACCAAAGCTCGTTAGGGAGAGAAGTGAACAGCCAGCAATTTTCAATGACCAAACGTCTGAGACAAGGCATTACATCTTTACCTAATTCCCAGCGAGAGAGCTTCCACAAACCTTTCATTTGAAATACCTCTAGTTGGGGGAACCCATTAATGCAACAAAGCTCTGATTTAGACCATGGTTCTTTTGGAAATTCACAATCTCTTAGTTTCAAAGTTCTGAGGTTGGTAAGACTCCCCAAAGTGCTCATGACATCGCTGTTTAAGTTCAGAGTTGAGACTGCAAGCTTCGTAAGGTTGGAAGGAAAGGCATTGACAGATGTTGGAATATCAGCAAAGCCATAGATCTTCAACGTATTCAGATGCTTTAGGTTTGGAAGGTATTCCCAGAAATGGCCAACTCCTTGTTTATGCTTGTCATCTTCACAAAAA